AAATGTCAAGAACTAACTCAAAATAGTGGGTGAATAACATGAAAAATCATGTGTAAAAATGAACCGAACACCCCTGCAAAAGGGTTGATGTTCTCCAGACATACACACATGGACATAGAAGGATACACAGATGCTGATTGGGTAGGATCCATCACAGATAGATGTTCTACTTCTGGATATTTTACATTTGTGGGTGGCAACTTAGTCACTTGGATGAGTAAGAAGCAAAGAGTTGTGTCTTGATCAAGTGCTGAAACAGAGTTTAGGGAAATGGCTCAAGGTGTGTGTGAATTTCTCTGGTTACGGAGATTACTGAAGGATCTTGGAATTAAACCATTGAAAGCTACAAACCTATACTGTGATAATAAAGCTGCTATCGAGATAACACATAACACAGTACAACACGATTGTACCAAACATGTGGAAGTCAACCAACACTTCATCAAAGAGAAACTAGAAAGTGGTATAATTAAGTTTCCGTTTGTAAACTCCAAAAACCAACTTGCTGACATTCTGACGAAGGCTGTATCAAGTAAAGTTTGTTATGACTCACTTGAAAAGTTGGGCATACGTGATATCTTTGCTCCAACTTGAGGGGGAGTGTTAGTCAATGATTTGAGGGGGAGTATTGGACAGCTTGGCACAAATCCTGGAAAAGCATGTCTCCCACCTAGAAACCCATGTCCATGTTTTAGGGAAACACAAAGAGCTGGAAACACACTTCCATGTTTTGTGATTTTTTTTTGTATTGTAACTAACGGATAGTTATATCTATACTTGTATATATGTTCCCAGATTAGTAATGAAAGAATAACTGAATTGAAAGGCTGCAAAACCTCTCTTATTACATTCTCATTACACTATCTTTGGCATAAACTTCACCGTCTGGTCTAAGCATTCGGCTTGACCTTGGAGATCAACCATACACCCATAGTTCTGGATCTTAGGAACAATACTGTAGACACTGCTCATCTTGTTGAAGTATGTGTACCCTTCATTGACTAAGCCTCCATGGCTACAAGCAGATAGAAGAGCTACAAAAGTGACATGATCCGGCTTTATTGCTAGAGCTTTGTTGCTAGAGCTTCCATTTCTGAGAAGAGATCAATAGCTTTCTGGGCTTGCCCTTCCATGGCATGTGCTGCTATCATAGCAGTCCACACAAACTCATTTTTTTCAGTCATATCTGAGAATATCTCATAGGCTTCTTCAATGCTTCCACACTTTCCGTACATGTCAATCAAAGCAGTTCCCAACATAATATCCAACTCAATATGATTCTTTTTTATGTAAACATGCACCCAAATGCCATGATTCAGGGCTGCAACACTGGCACAGGAAGACAGAACACTAGCTAATGTGATCTTGTTCGGCTGAACATTTGAACTCTGCATCGCATGAAATAACTCAAATACTTCTCTGAATCGATGAGATATGGAATATCAGTTGATCATGGCGTTCCAAGAAATCACATCCTTCTCAAGAATCTCATTGAAGAAGAGTCTAGCCTTCTTAATATCTCCACTTCTGCAGAACCCATCCAACATTGAATTCCAAAACACAACACTCTTGCAAGGCAACTGCTCAAAAACTAAGCAAGCCTCAGCCAATTTTTCACATTTGGCATACAAGTCTATAAGAGCATTCCATATTTGAAAATCAGATGGTGAATGGATCTGCCTAACTTGCAATCTCCCACATGAGCACATGCTGAAAGTAATGTGACCAAAAGAACCTCATCAAGGCTTAAATATTTTTTTTTCTCATTTGCCTGAATAACTCTAGACTTTCATAATAGTAACCTCCTTATGTTTGTGCCTAATAATTCTTGGTCATAAACTGACCGAAGAGACTTCCTCTCGGCCCTAGCACCTACCCATGAACTGGAACGTGGCGGTTTGTTAGGCATTTTGCCTTCCTAAAGACAAAGGAAAAGCTGCGAAGGGGGAATCCTCTCGGCCTCGCGACCGCGGCATTATAGGCCGAGGTCGAAGGGTGTAAGAGACACGGCCGAAGATATTAAGGTTAAATCACCACGTGGCAACAAGGTCCCACACTTCATTTAATGAAGTAACGCCTCTTACTATTGCAGCAAATCCACTAACCGCGAAAAGGCATTTAATGCACGAGGGAAGAAGGGAAGTGACTGAAGTCGAACTCAAACAGGCGCACCACTTAACCATTTTATCCAAACACTTCACTCTCTCGACGCACGGTAGACCGTGCTGGCACGCTCGCGCACAACCGCACCGCATCCAAAAGAAGGACGTCACGTGTTGATGCATATCCCCTCGGCCCTGAGCACCAGGCCGTGAGATTTGCGCAGCCAACACTTTTGGCACGCCCGGTGGGACTCTTGTAAAAACTCATGGTGGAAACTAGGGCACAGGTGAAACTCAAGAATAAGACAGTCGAAATGACTTCTGAGAATCCTGAGCCAACGTCACTAATAACTATCACCGATACCGAACAAGTGGTCAGAATCTCTGCCAGCGTTCCAATGACGACGGATCGCACGGCCGAGTCCATGCAAGAGCAAGTAGTGGTGGAGGATCTGATGGCTAAGCAGGCCTACAGGATAGAGACATCCTTTATGGCTGCAATGGACAGATTTTCCTCAGAGCTACGAACGCTCTTTCAAGAGAGGATGCCGGTGACCTCGCCCGCGACACCTCCAAGAGCTTGACAGAGAAGCCAAGAGCAAGAGAGGATTGAGCCTTATGGCGAAAGCAGCAGCCTCGGTGCCTCTGGTCACACCCAAGCGTCAGGCTACGGTCAGCATTTTCAGTCGCCGACGAATAGCTGGGGGCAATGATCGGTTCATAATTGTATATCATTTTGTACCCTTCTAGCTTATGATTTGGTTATGTTTTTGAGTTAAACTTGTGCTTTTAATCCTTTTTGTGTTTATCTTTCAGTTCATTGAGCTTTAGGTAATAATGAGGGCTTTGGATAGTAAATGATGCAATCCATGCATGTTAGGGCCTAATTTGGATGAATGGATGAAGAGCTTAAAGACAAACTCAATTTTGGCTACAGTCCCCTGCCAGCCCAGTTTCGTAGGTCATATTGCAAGCTTTGTTTCAGCAACCTACATAGCTCGGATGAGGCCACATTCTTCATGAAAGTTGTTCCAATGGGTGTGTACTATAACATATCCAA